GGCTGCTGGGGCTGCGGCTGCAGCTGCTGCGGGAGAAGGAACAAGCGGACAGTCAGACTGCGCTCTCCCAGGTGCGCGCGAAGCAGCTAGAACTACGGAGCGCATGGTTGGGGGATGAGCCCACGCCTGGCTTCTTGGATGGGGACAAGGGCTCAGGCCCAAAGGCAGGCCAGCGAAAGGACCCACAGCATTCGGAAAAATATCAAAATGATAGTCACTAGGAAGGAAGGACTTGGGTTTGGGGGGCTACTGGGCCTCCTTCTCAGAGGTCACCGGAGCCTCCCTAACCTTGATTTTCAGTCTGTGCCAGAAGTTTGCACATTACGGGAAGACAAGCAAAGCCAATTATGATATAAATCATTAAGATTTAAAAGGAAGATCGAGAAGGATTTCAAAGGCATTTTAGAAAGGTGAGGTACAGAGCCATGTAAGAAATGTGTTTTGCCCTATGTCATCCGGTAGGTAAAACATGGAGCAGGATTCAAAAGTTGTATTTAAATTGCAACCAAAATGGCTAGCCCTTCCCTCTTCTTCAGCATTATCTCTTAGGAGTCCAAAGGATTTTTGAGAGGCTGACGTTTGTGAAATTCCTGCCAGACAGTCCTGATTTCATGCACAATGTCTTACCAAATGGCACTAGGCTGACACTGCAAGTTTTTTTTCCTTACGGAAAAATAAAGGTCCAATCCGCCCCTAGCGAATTGTTGTGTCTGTGGTGAACTTGGATGTGATTAGGATTGAAGTTTAGTGTACACAGACACTTTTTCATGATTAGTACCTGTATGTGTGCTGTGATTTCCCTACACAATTATACAGAACAAATGTGCGATACATGCACGTAACTGTACTCGCTACCCCTAACTCCTATCAGCAAAGCAAATCAACCCGAGTGAGCGGCAAAATATCAGAACATTCATACGGTGCCTACGCAGTTCCTTTTACCCCCTAAAAAGCAATTTTTTAAAAAACGCTTTACATTTTCAAACAAGTCCTACTCTCATTACTTAATGTATATCTTCCTCTTTTTTTGTTTTCGCTAAACAGTTTCTCAGGCTTTCGGGATTATTTTAGTGCTTGATATCCTCAGGGATTCTCTTTTTCAATTTATCTTGAATACATACTCAGGGGTATTTTTTCCTAGTGGATGGATAACCCTGTTATTGTTTTTAGCTACATATGTATTTTTCCCCAGCAATACTCAGAAATAATGCAGGTGATTCACCAAAGATAGTAGGATTTTAGGACTCTGGAAGGCAATGGCATTTTTCCTTAAAGGAGAAGTTCCCTTTAAATTTAACAAAAACAAGTTATACAGCTCAAGTTCAATTGCAACATACTTCCTAAGCAACCGAGGCCCTAAGAGCGCCTACAAAACACCTGACCCCAGAGTTTTCCAATCTCAATTCATAGGGGGGGTTCCCTCAGTCGGGTGAATGGAGACGAGTCCCATGACATGACAGCTAAGTACAAGGCTGAGTCTGTTGGCACAGTGGTCTCAGCCCACCGCCATGGTCAGATTGTCCTTTAAAAGTCTGAATATCCCGACCAAGGGAGCAGGTCTCTAAGCCACCCCCTGTCTGTGTCCCTCTCTTTCTGGCAAAGGGAACTTGTGCCCGCTCACCTGAGGAGCAGCACTGAGCCACGGTGCAGGGGTCAGCAGGCCTGGCAAGAAAACGCCTCTAGACTCTCCTTTCCCAAGGGTGGTGGGAGAGGGGCTCTAAAGGAAAGACAAACAGACATGACTCGCCCCTAACCTGTGCTCTGTGAGGGTGTAGGGAGACAGCTGCAAGGTGAAGGAAGGGCCAAGGCGTCGTCGGGAGCAAGATTCCATTTAGGTTTCCCTCCCCACCTCCTTTTGGACAGAAGCCAATGTATAAAATTGTGATTCTACAAAATCCCCCTACAGAAAACAGCAATCATTCCTTTCCTTGGGTGCAGTTCAGGTATTAGTTTTTTGTATGTTTTTCTTTTTTAAGGTGGTGTGTTTTAAATTCTGATTTAAAAAAAAAATTATGAAGCTCATACACACAAAACAACCCAATTCTAACAAAGACTCACTTGCCAAACAAGAAGTGTAAAAGGGGGTTCCTGCCACTTTGGGGGTGGGGAGTGAAGGAAGAGGAACACAAAACACATGTTGGAAAAAGTGTTAATTTTCCTCTCATCCCCCTGAGCAAGACAGTAGTGTATCACTATCGCTTGCTAAAAAGCCCGTGTGTAGACTGCTGGGAAGGAGAGAAACGCTAATTTCCCTGCTCAGTTTAAAGCTCTGTTTACTTAGTGCTATCTTGAATTGGCCAAGGTAAACGAACCTGAATCTGCTCTGCTGGAACGTGGATGATGTGGGGCGGCCTGTCGCCATGGTGATGTACCGCGTTGCTCTCCTGTTCATATATGGCATCGCGTTCTTGCTGGGGAAGACTGAGGAACCTTCGGATCATGGAGAGGTTCTCCCACAGGGTCCTGTTTTCTGGAGAAGGATCTTCTTTCCAGCGTAACAGCTCACACAGCCACCCCTTCGAGACAAGGGAATAATAGGTCAGCTCATGCGGGCGGGGGAAAGACTGACAATTTCCATTAGGAGCTTAAAATGGAAAGACCCTGTGAAGTTAATTTTTTTCATAAGCTCAAAATACTCCAATCTGCTTTAAACAATTTTGTTAAACCTCTGAGAAGAGCTGTGGTTGTCAAAAAGACAGGCTCTGTTTCCAATAAACGTTCAGACTGGCATCTTAAAAGAGGGTAATATTTTTCAGACTCCAAGGGCAAGACCCATTTACCCGGGGCTTTGTGATATGTGAGAAACAGGAGAAAAGCCAAGCTGGGTGCGCTTGAGCCTTGCCCAACCTTCTTGTCTGATGAGTGTGGCCACCTGCGGTCCTGCGGGTATTTAAGGAGAGTTAGGACAGACTTTTAGAATAATTATTTAAAAAGGATTTCGTAAGTTTGGAATTTTTGTATTAGAAAGGAAATTAGGTATGAATATTTGTGTGTGTGTGTGTGTGTGTGTGTGTGTGTGTGTGTGAGAGAGAAAGAGAAAATGTGTGCAACTGTGTAAGAATGCTGTCCACTATATAAAGCAAAATGATTATAGACTGGGCATTCGAAGAATTCTCAAGGAAGAACTTTCCAGAGAGATAGCTCGGAGTCCTGCTTTTCTGCCTGCTGCAGGATACACATGTGATTTGTCAAGCAACCATTTTAACGGGTTTCCTGAGCAAAGAGTGAACTATCAGATTATCAAGAACTGAGTGGTCTAACACAGTCCATTGTCCAACATTTTCTAATCACCCTCTCAAACCTCCTTTGTCTTGGCTGCCATGATAGACATAAGGAATGGGGTGGAGAGGAAGGGGGATATCCCACCCAGACCCCCTTCCCCAGCCAAGGCGACCACCCCCAGTTGCTGTGCTGCCTGCTTAGAGCTCAGAGCCACACTCTTTTCTGGAGCAAGGTCTTGGAGTCATCTCACCTGGAGATGCCTGGACAGTTACTCCACTTCCTCCCTGGCCCCCTCCCCCAGGGTGGCCATGCCTGGCTGCCCCAGTGGTTCAAAGTCTCTGTACCTTCAATTTACTGCTGTTTTCCATAGAGGGATTTATTCTCTAGAGATGACCTTATCTCCCCTTTACCTGTGACCCCTTTTTCCTATCCTCCTTGCTCCTTCCAAGTCCCTCACCAAATCACGTGCACTTGAACTCCCCATCTCAGGTTCTGCTTTAGGGAACGTGGCCTAAGACACAGGGGCTTCTTGAAAATTTCAACTAAATTAGTTGGATGTGAATGGATCAAGTACATTTTCTTTATTATCTGATTTTTAGAACTAGCCAAGGAGAAGGTATTTTTGTCTTTTTTTTTTTGCTGGTTGTTTTTTTTTTGTTTTTTTTTTTTTTTTGTTTTTTTTTTTTTTTTGTTTTTTTTTTTTTTTTGTTTTTTTTTTTTTTTTGTTTTTTTTTTTTTTTTGTTTTTTTTTTTTTTTTGTTTTTTTTTTTTTTTTGTTTTTTTTTTTTTTTTGTTTTTTTTTTTTTTTTGTTTTTTTTTTTTTTTTGTTTTTTTTTTTTTTTTGTTTTTTTTTTTTTTTTGTTTTTTTTTTTTTTTTGTTTTTTTTTGTTTGTTTGTTTGTTTTTAATGTTACCTTTGGAGTGAGAATGGTATGGCTTTTCCTCCCTTTCTTCTCAGCCTGAACCACTGGAGAGAAAATTCTCTTTCCAATTGCAATATAAAGTGGGAAAAAGCAAGGTACACTCTCCCCAAAATGGCCTATTTGAGAGATTTTAGAGAGAACTGAGACATTAGCTTCCCAAGGCCCATCTACTAACCAGCCAAGGGTGACTGCTGCTAACCCCCAGGAGACCTACCAATTTTTCTGAGAGAGCTTTGATTCTCTACTCAACAGGTCTTTTAATTAAACAAATATGTACATGGGGACAGTCATGCAATCATGCACTCATTCAATGCTACCGAACACATAATAATTCCAGGCTAAAAGAGTAGGCAGTAAACTGAAGATGTGCCTAAAAGAATATTAGCTAAATAAAAATAAGAATGCTGATTACAGTGTCATTGAACACACTTCTCTTCTAACCTTGGCAATCCTATGTTTATTTCCAGAATAATATGATATGTCATATTTTAGCTCTATGTTTGTACATTATTGACTAGAAAACTATATTCCAGTATTTGAAATATTTGAGACCCTGAAGATTATTTAGTGCTTCCTAGCAAATATTTGCTGTCTAGAGTAAGCCATGAAAATATATTTTCCTCCATCTAAGCTATTTCTTTACACTTTACCTCTAAGTTATCATGCTGTGACGGTTTTAGATGTATCTTCCCATAAGTCTGAATATTAACTACTAGAGGCCTGGTGCATGAAATTCATGCACTGGTAGGATCCCTAGCTGGCTGGGGCCTCCCTCCCTTCCCCTGGCCGGCCCACCCCCTGGTCAAACTATGGTCGAGGGGACAATCTGCATACTATGCTTTTATTATATAGGATGCTACTTTCCTCCTCCTTGTCTTCATTCTTTGGCTATGTCAATTGACACCCGCCCCCATGCCTAAACACAGCAAATACTACAATTTTATTTATCTTTCAAGAGATGTTAGAAGGTTCATAAAGATGCTGTTTTTGGTTTTTTTACTTACTAGTAGCTAGTCTTACATTATTGCAGTAAGTGCTCAACATTGAGATTCTAAGAATTAAAAAAAAAAACACTAATGCTTGCAACTAAAAATTGCTAAAAGTTAAATTAAGAACGATTCATGTAAGAAAAGCTTCTTGGAGAGAGCTGAAAACTCCAATAATTTTCAAATCCTTTAGAAACTTTTTCATGCCCAGATCAGTTAGCACTTGCATATATATGTGAGAAAAAAAACACATGTGGATCACAGATGTTCTCTGGAAAAGAAAATCATTAGTTCTTTTAAAATGGCTAATAATGATAGCTAATTCCTAAACAATCACATTCACGCTGGTTTCACAAATATTTCAGAAAAAGAGCCCCGACTCATTCAACAAATATTTGCTCATATTGTCACTTGTGTGTCTCTATACTTACGAGACAGACCCTTATTTTTATTAATTGCCTATGACTAACATAACATTTCCAGTAGTTTGCTATTAACCTCTGCCCTTAAATAATACTTCTAATTCCTTATCTAAAAATAATTTGATGAATTATAAGTTTGAAACATGTCTCTGCTAGCCTTTCAAGAAACACGGTCATTTAAAGAAAATGAAATCAGATGCTTCTTAGACAAATATTTAACGGTGCAGCTGGGAACTGTTAGTTCTACAAGGATATTCCAAAAAAACAAAGAGGGGGGGGGCGGGGGTTCTTTCCTTGATGTGCGTATCTCTTAAAAAGTAATGGAAAACAGATATTCTGACATGCCAGTTCTCTGTCGGCAGAGAAAATAATTTGGCTCATCCCCAATTCACACCGGCAAAGTAAGATTAATGTTTTCTAATACTATTTAAATGCCTTGGAATATTCTGACTACCTCAAAATCTATGGATTGAGATTCTATTAATGATGACAGTAATCTAATCCGTGTTTGGCAGAAAGTGACTAAAAAAGCCAAATGCTTTCTAACCTTTTTCTAGATCACTTTTCCGTAAGTGTTATTGTTAGAGCATATAAATTTGGGAAGAAAATGAACATGTCAGAATATCTGTAATATTTAGCAAATAAAAAATATTGATTCCCCTAAGTACTGTATAGGTTTTTAAATGATAAATTTATAGATTTACTTGGTAGAGGGGAGACAAGGAATGAAATGCAGTACTAGGTTGCAAAATGTGAACATAATTACATTGTTAAGAGAGGTCTCTGAGACTTGAGATATGAAAAGACCATAGGCCGGGGTAGGAAACTACTCTCAAAATTAAATTCAATGACAAGTGTTCCAAACAGTGGAAAAGAGAGAAGACTAAAAGCCTTCAAATAATGATACCGATCCATTCTCAGGAAACCAAAATGGCACAAGGAACAACCTACACTTTAAATGTAGTAAATTTGCCAAGCAACATTACACTGCATATAAAAAGGGCAAAATATAAACAGTAGCCACATGTAAATAAATTAGTAAAACTTTCAGGATGTTACTACTTTTCAAACTGACAAAGTTTAATTTGACACCTTCTGTTCTAAACCCTTTGTTTCTATTCAAAATCACGCCTTGAGCTGTTGCTATCAATCACAGAGCTCCCCCCTATTACTTAAAAAAACTGGCATGGACCCTGAATAAGCTGAAAATGCCATGCAGATGAATTCTGAGATAATATGTTCAAACCTGTTATATACAACACAAATCCTGTAAAGTTATGTATTGTAAACCTACATTTATTGAGAACTAAAAGTCTTAAATCCATCTGCCACAAAGGAAATACTGTTATGTACTTTATAGTAACCAAGAACCATCTGCAAATGTCTAGCCACCGTAAGCAAGAAAATGGTGCAAAGGATGCTAATGCTAAGACTGCACGAAATAACATTCTTTGACTGGATTTGGTTAGGGGTCTATTAAAGAAATATAAAATCAAGGGGGTAAAAAGGAAGAAAAGGAAGAGAGAAAATGCAGAGTGACTGCCAAACCAGTACTGCAAAAAAGCAAAACAAACTCAATGACAACACAATGGCAATTTATTATGGTCCATGAAGCACACGACTGTATGCTCATTTTAAAGGAAAAATTAGCAGTTCTAAACTCAATATTCTAATGATGTGCTTTACTGACAGAATCTTGTTGTACCACATTTAAATAAAAATCCTGGCACCTTCCTCTCTCAGCTGCTAATTTCCAACCAAACTCAACCCCTGATTTCCATTCTAGTCAGAACAGTTACTTCAAGTCAATTCACTTCTAACATTTTAACGGATAAGGGGTGCACGATGATTTTCATGTAGTCAGGAAAGGAACCTCATTTCACGAATGAATTTATTGTACCTACAGGGTCCCACACATAAAACGAGAAACCTTTCAAGGCCTGGCCTGTGATAAAGGTGGGAGC